TACTATGAAAGTTGTAAACTTAATTATAATTGTAATTAAAATTCTACGACTACAAATGTAATTAAATGTAAACTAATTGGATTTGGGTTTTAATTAAAATAAGATTTTAATTAAAACTCCTATTTGAATATGGAGGTATTATTGTATAAGAATTGAAATTATTCTATCTCTATAAATAGAGCTTATATGGAACTTAGACATTCTCTGGGATTGTACAACAATTAAAATATATAATTCCATAATGTCCAAATTTGGAGAGAGAAAAAGAAAGGGAAAATAATTATTTTATTATCTTATTCAATTGTTCAGTTCAAGAATTAGTTTCTTGATTTAATTAAAAGAAGGTACCCACCCACCGATATATTATTGACTTTGGAGAATATTGTAGAAAATTTAGAAATCTGAAGCATCAAGTTCTTGGAATTAAAAACTTAAAGTTCGTGCATGATCCAAAAATCTGAAAGTTCGTGATTCATAATTAATTCAAGAATTCACCATTGAACTCGGGCAAAAGTTCAAATCCTTTATTTTTGATATAACACATACATAGACATTTAGACGATCTTATTCATTAAATTAAAAATAATAATTTAATTTCTGAGTAATTCCACTTCCACATTCCAACAACGCATAGGTTGTACCACTGAATAGTTGTGACTAATGTAACTTGCAATATCCGTTGCTTAGAATTCATATAGGATCCATTTATGTTTAAGATGTGTAGTGGCTACGGTGCGATATTACACCTATTCTAGTGGACGATGGTACTATAAGTATTTGTTTCTCTGGGCACCAAGAAAAACAAGATATGTGTTACTTGATGTACCATCACTCTTGTTAATAGCCCACTTACATTGGCCAAAGTGTGAAGTGTAGTTGGTGAAGACCATTATACTCGGTCTCCCTAAGTTAAACTCCTAAGACAAAAGAAAGGGTAGAATTTCGTTAAAATTGATCAACTTCGATATACATCGTCTGCATTGCAATGTTTAACCCATGTGCAATGCATGATGTATATTTGTTCACTACATTGCATAGCTCCGAACACATCACATGTTTATAAAGTAAGCATTGATTGGGATAGATACAACAACTAGTTGAAGTGATTTTATGATAGAAAAAAGAGTCGATGCATCTTGTTTCTCCATCCATTTTGTTTTCGCATGTAGCCCATGTTTGGTTCAGTTAAAAAAATTGACTAAAATTTAAATCAAAATCAACAATTAATTTTAACTATAAATTTTATGGGATTCACAACTTTTGATCATACATTTCATCAATTTTTATAAAAATTTAATAAAAAAATTGATTTTTATGTAAATCAAATATGAACATTATTAATAATGTATTTTTGGTGTGACATCATATTCATTTAAATAGAGGCATTATAAGATATACTAAAGGCACGTTTGTACATTAGACAATATAGTTTTAGAAGGGATAAAGATAGGTAGTCAAACAACATAATTTATTGATTCTTCTCTCATGTCTTTTTCATAGAGTGGATATTTGTTGCCTTCATTTGATTATCTCATTTAAGTCATAACATCTTATTATATAGTGTTAAATAGGGTAAGTCGAATCAAGCAAACTAACCTGAATCGCAAGTCATTTAAGGCTCACCAATATTAATTTATTTTTTAACTAAGATTATATTTTTTATTCGATATGACAAACCGACTTGTTCGAGCAGCTCGCATGATTGATTCACTGTTCGACTCATTAGTAGAGTGACCCGACGAGCGGCTCACCCACTTTTCGCCTTATACGACAACTTTTGGGCACGAATATGCATGTGTGTCTAGGAAGAAGGAACAAGGTACGTGCCGGGTGAAAGCAACTTTGAATTAGGATCACGTGAGTGGAACATGCTAAAGGAGATAAGAAACCCGAAAGAGACTATTCAATCATCCGATATTGGGGCCCCAAACTTGTTTGCATAATTAGGCCTTTTTCAGTCTTCTACAGGAAAGAAAGACTATACGTTTCAAAGCTTTCAAGATTTTGACTTAAAAGTCTCCCACCCAACGACCCCAGTATCAAAATGAAGTTCGTGGTAGGGCCAACTCATTTATTAAGGTCCCGTTTGAAAAAGATTTTGAGAATTAATTTTTTGACCGTTAGAAGAAAAATGGGTTCCACCTGTAAGAGAATAAGTAAAAAATTACGACTGGAATAGTGAAATAACGATCAAAAAATTAATTTTTTAGGATAAAAAATCCCTCACAAACAGGCTGTAAACCCTTGAAAGTTGAATCATAAAGAAAAATGCAAAAATGAGCCATGTTTGCGCTCAATTTTTTTTTTTCAAAACTTGTTTTAAACTACACATTCTTTTATAAAATAATTTTAGACATAAATTTAATTTTTCTTATTTTTTAACCATACATTCTTTAAAAAATCACTATTCCAAAATATATCTCCCCTCCAAAAGTCAAACAATAATTCATCGAACATGAAATTTTTAATGAAAATGATATTCTTTTAGTACCGTAAATACAACCAATAATAATGAACGATCAAAATAAATGCTCGGGAATTTTTTTTCTTCAAAGGAGGCTAACCCACTATTCCCTAGTCATGTCTATTTATAAATAATTTTACTTAGAAATAGTTAAATATATTCATCGATCATCTCTCTCGGAAAAATAATAAAAAGGAAAACATAGCAATAAATTTAAATAACTTGACTCATTTGACACCTCTATATCTATTGAGTTTTCGTTCCTGATGTTTCTTGTCGGTGTTCTTTGCACCAGAAATTTCGTCGAGCATCATTCATAATCTTGCCATGTGAATGTTAAATCCAAGTATCCCATTGGCATGTGGGCTTCCTTTCTCATTATTTATTTTTCTTCAAAATAATGACAAGAATGTGACGATGCATTATGTGCAGATTGGGACCATGTTTAAAAATCAATGCAACCACACAAATTCATTTAAATCCCAATAGTATAATTTTGTTATCTCTACTTGGAGATACTATGCAAAGAATGCACCTGCGAGTGAACAAATTTTCACTGTCTATCAAAGTCATGCACAGTGAACAAATACATAATTACCCCCCAAAATCATATTAATATTTAAAATACAGTGGCCCGGACGATTACAACTCAGAAGCTTGACAATCTGAGATCGAGGTTAGAAGTTAGAAGTGAGATCTCAATCTCAAGCAGTTGTAGGTTTAGAAACCCAGATAAGCACGGACAAATTTAGATGAACACGGGCAATCATTAAACGACCGTCCAATATATTTAAAAATATATATAAATTGATGAAGCCAACGTAGGCAGCCGCAGGGGCTCTCCATGTGCTTGCTCCGCCCATGATCTCAAGCATAAATTTGTAATGAGGGTATGTGAGGCTCAGTGACTGCATGGGTTTGCATGCTCGAATTAGTATAGAGGAAATTACAAAAAATATCAATTTTGACATAGTTATTTGCAAAAATATCTAAAATTTTTCAATGTCCATTTTTGCAATTATGTGGACGAGATTATTTCTAAGTAGCTTCCATGAGAAGTTACATTAAAATGATATTCTCGACATTTCAAATGTCGTTCTCGATATTTGAATCCGTTTATATTTCAAAAGTACACATGTCTAATCATAATATTAAATGTTATCGATATTTCAAATGTTGTTCTCAACATATTAAATGTCTAGAATGAAATTTCATTCCGAACATGACATTTCTCTATACTTTAAATGTTGTTTTCAACATTTCTATGTCTAACATTAATTGTGATTTGATATGTGCAATATAAAATTATTTATTCTTTCATTAATGGTAAAATAGAGAATTTGGTATCAAATTTGACAATTTTAACAAAGATTATTAAAAGTGCACATTTTTGAATTAACATATGTAAAATTAGACTTTTTCAAATGCCCCATTAAAATTAAGATGCGTTGTTAGGTGCTTCATTTTCTTTTCCCATTGAGGCCGAACCGAAACCTATGCTCGAAAGATAGATGTCCATACATTAATAAGGGATGTATGGATTCTCGAGAAGAGAGGAGCCATGGTGGTCCTCTTCGGACCGCCTGGATCCCACGAGTAAATCGAAAATTGGATCTCATCCGAATCGTCCCATCTATCCTCCTGATGAGAGGTTTAGTTCCGGTACTGTCTGTGCTTGAAACAATTTTGTCTTCTCCATATTACTATATCTCTATAGTCAATAATTTTATTTGAGGAACTACTGAACTCAATCACTTGCTGTCGTTACTCTTCAGTTTTCTATCAAGGTCTATTTTAGTGGGGCATTTGCAAAAAGTCCAATTTTACATATATCAATGCAAAAATGTCAACTTTCGATAATCTTTATAAAAATGGTCAAATTTGATACCAAATTCTCTATTTTACCCTTAATGAAAGAATAAATAATTTTATATTGCACATGTCAAATTACAATTAATGTTAAACACAGAAATGTCGAGAACAACATTTAAAGTGTAAAAAAATATCATGTTCGAAATAAAATGTCATTCTAGATGTTTAATATGTCGAGTACAACGTTAGAAATGTCGAAAATATTTAATATTGTGATTTGACATGTGTACTTTTAAAATATAAAAGGATTCAAATATCGAGAACAATATTTGAACTGTCGAGAACATCATTTTAATGTAACTTCTCATGAAAGCTACTTAGGAGTACTCTCGTCCACATAATTACAAAAATGGATATTACAAAATTTTGGACATTTTTACAAATGACTATATCAAAATGGACATTTTTTGTAATTTCCTCTTAATATATTGCTGTTATTCTATAGTAATAACAAAGAATTAGAAGCTGAAATTTTTTCTTTTGTAGTACTCAGCATTCCTAAAATGATCTTTATGTATGTATACATGAAGTACACGTTCATTTCATGCATGAATCTCAATTAGCCACAATCACAATGCAAGATCTTATGCTATAAGTTTCAATACTACTATCGAATTTTACGACGCAATAAGAAAAATTATAACTTGTACGAGAGAAACCACAGTCGACAAAGGAAAAGAGAACAATAGATCCATAAATGAAACAAATCGATGTGCAATGATACGAGCAGTCGACAAATTTACAAATGTTAGAATGTAGTGAGAAGACAGCAACAATAAAGCATTTTCAGAACTTCAACTATAAATATATAAATCTCGATTCGAATAGAGTACGTTCAAATCCAGATAAGTGTTTTTATCATCGACAAAGCTGTACGCATAGTCCCTGAATCTGTGATGAGCTTGGATTCAGCAATGAATACGACCTGCTTCTATCGTTATTGGAGCAAGTTAAAGTATATTGACCTGTTCCCGTTTGCTCCGACTGCAAAATCGACAGATTTTGAAAAATCATTTCATCAGATGGATTATCACACCTATCTACATCAAAGCGTTACTAAGGAAAAAAAAAAAAAAACAACAAATGCAAGGGCAAACATTTTCAACTTTCATCAAACTTGAGAGTAAAAAGGCATCTTTTTAGCCAATCTTAAGGTAACACCCGATTTTCTAGTAAATGTCATGTGTACACAGATCTATTCAAATGTGTCCTTATTCCAAACCATCCACTTATTCAGAGTAACTATGTCACATCGTCACAAATTGGTTCACTTTAGTGCATAATCAAACTGATGTAACATAAGTTAAAAGCAATATCCGTCTTTCTGGTGTGTGCATCACTTTCAACCATGTTCGTAAGATTTTTTTTTTTTTTTTTTTTTTTTTTTAGGGGAACTATACAAATTCCATAAAATGCATAAACCGAGAAGGTAAATTCACAATTCCTTACCATGCATGAAACGGGCTGAGTATTGCAGCTCCACCTTGAAGTAGGAACACAACTCAGATAGTGGCACCATGAGCAGTGATCGTTCAAATCTTCTCCTCGAAGAAGCAATACCAGGCCAACAGTGAAACTATCGAAATCAACACAGATCTTAAGTCAGAGAGAAACGATCAGCGTCCAATAACACAATTAAAATGCAAAAATTCCGATAAACCATCTTTGGAGACACTCACGAGGAATCATGAAATTCCAG